TAAATATAGTAGCAGGTAGTTCGTAAATATTGCATTTGATAAAGACACGATGTTGTCGAAACAATTTTCATTTGAATATATATAATTTCGTGAAAATATGAACTTTTAGTTCTTATTTATTTTGTTAAATGGATTTTCATCAAGTAAAAGCCACCTCAGTTCAATTACCCCCAATTATCAAATACTCAAATATTCGTTATATATATTTCGCAATCTCAGAAAAATCTGACGTTATCCTTGACTTTGAATTAGACTATTGAGGAGCCACTTAGGAGAGCTTCAAAATGATAGCGCAACCACGTTCAAACCATCGGGAATATATAAAACTACCCCCAATAATCAAACACCCAAATGTTCGTTATATTTCGCAATCTCAAAACAATTTATTTTTATTTATTTTATTTAATTAATTAGGAGAGTCTAATTGAATATCTGCGACGTCGGATTTTTTTGAAATTCCGGAATAAATTAAACGAATTTGCTAAATAAATATAGAGAACTTTTGGGTATTGCGTTATTGAGGGTTGTGCAATACATCATTTTGAAGCTCTCCTAAGTAGCTCTTCAATGGTCTAATTTAATATCTGAGACAACAATATATCAAACTTTTGAGCATTTCATTATTGGGGGTTGCCCAATACAACATTTTGAAGCTCTCCTAAGTAGCTCTTCAATGGTCTAATTCAATATCTGGGATAACGATAAATCAAACTTTTGAGCATTTCATTATTGGGGATAGTTATATATCGTCCCCACTGTTTCAAAGTGGTTGAGTAATACATCATTTTCAAGCTCTCCTAGGTGACTAGGAGATTCCGAAATCAATAAAAAGAATTTTAGGATATCTCCATTATTGGGGGTGGTTTTACATCGTCTCCACCGTTTCGATGTGGTTGAGCAATACGTCATTTTGAAGCTCTCCTAAGTGGTCCTTTAAAGGCCTAATTCAACATCTGTCAGCATGTCCACAGGAATATGTTTTTTTAATTAAGATAATTAACGAACTGGTCCACTGTAATATTTGCAAATTCAAATCCAAATCCAAATCTAACTTCAGCCACATTCAAACATCGTTGTTTCCCATATAGTAGCTATTTGGTGTCCCCTAGTCCGTCACCAAGTGATTGCGGATTCCTCCTGGCATAGTTACATCGAGAACTGCTAATCACACAAAAATTACTTCTAGGGAACCTCCTAACCTTATATCACGAAAATCCCTAGTTCACTGCCCTCTGGCGTTTCACCGTAAAACTAACAAAAATATTGTCATAAACGTTTACACGTGCCTACGTTAGATGGCGCTATTCAAAAATAAGTTTTAAGTTAATTCTGCAATTCTAGTTACTGCAATTTCAGGAAAGGATTTTTAATGGACGAATCGCACGTTCTACGGTAGTTTTCCCGACTTCACGCGCGTGGCGAAAGCGCGCGTGAGGCCCATAAATTTCGAAATACCAAATGAGGCACGCTAACACAATTATTTTCACCGATAACGATCCCCTCGTCGGTTTCAAAGGGTCGTTATGCAATTTCGTCTAATTTTAAAATTTCTCCTCGCACGCCGGGCTGATTGCGCGCCGAAAGTTCCCGGCGATTTTAATTAAACTATCACTTGTCTCGGCCAAGTTAATTTCAATGAAGCTAACAATTAACCGAGCTGGGACGGTGGAGGGGGAAGTTTGTGCAGAAGATTGGATTATAATAATAAGATGATATTGCCATAAAACTGTCAAAAAATGATAAACCTCAAGGACCAGACAACATGCTATGAGCAACCTTCCACCTGATAAATGATCGAAACATAAAAATATTAACAAGGTTTTTTAATAATATATACGACACTGGAAACATCCGCACAGACTGCCTTTATAATTTATTTATAACATTTATAACCCTACCAAAATCAAATAACTCACAAAGATGTAAAGACTCATTAGCTAATAGAGTCATTTTTTAAAACTGCTTCTTCGAATCATGTACTCAAGACTCTACAGAAAATGTTTTAAGAGAGGGTTTGGAACCATGAAGGTCACCTTCAGTCTGCAGACGTTGGTGCAAAATTGCCTTGACCAAAGAAAGAAAACCTTCAAACGTCAATCTATATTGGCACCAGGCAGCTGAAACATGTCTTCAAAACTCAGTAACAACAGAATTTGAAATAAGGAAGGAAGTCAAAAGGGCTGCATTCTATACCCAATGCTTTTCAATCTCTATGTGAAGAGAGCTTTTCCTGAGATAAAATCCGAAATACCCATGGGTATTATAGTTAATGGTATCCCAATTAATAATATAGGCTACGAAATACTGTCAGTGGGGCAAGCCAACAGAGAGGCTTAAAGATTAACACCAACAAAACGAAGCTTATGGTTATATATAGAGATATCTTGCCAAACCTATATCTCCAACTCAATCGATGGTGTATGGTGGTCGACCAGTGGAACCCAGAACTTGAAATTAGATGCAGGATAGAACAAACAAGAACAACATTTCTGAGATTAAAAAAAATCTTCACCAACCGGAATCTAAATTTCAAATTCAGGTACAGAATGGTTAAGTGTTATGGAAGCGTGAGTGCTTAAAGCTGTTTCTATGAACCGCATTGGAAGACCGAAAACTCTACGACCATAAATTGGACTGGGTGGCTTTTGCTTGATTGAATTCCGTTTAACAAAATAAATAAGAACTAAAAGTTCAGATTTTCACGAAATTATATATTATGACAAGACAATTGTTTCTATAACAACGTGTATAACGCAATACATTTGAATGTCTCATTTTGATAATATTCATGGCTTCCAGTAAATTTAAATTTCCACTTTTTGTGGCTGTATGTAAAATATCAAAATTCTCGTCAAAAATGTGTTTTTCTGTGTTTAAGTGTGTAGCATAATTAGAATCTAGACTAATGTTTTTGAATGTTTTTTTATGTTCGCCAATGCATTTCTTGAAGGATCTACCTGTTGGTCCAATATAAATTTTAGGACAAGATCCGCATTTCAAGCTGTAGAGACCTGATTTTTGAGTTTTTGTCAATAAACATCTGTTGCAGCAATAAATGCACTATATTTTTGGTCGTATTATATAATAGACATTATACATTGATAAGTCGGTTATCCTTTGAAATAAATTACATCGGGCCAAGCAATTTTAATACAGGACGCGACGGATGCGACGAAATCGGAAATCTGCGAGGAGTCGGTTTAGTTAACGGACGATTTGGAACTTCGTTTATTATTTGCGAAATGTTTGACGGGCGATATTAACGGTAATTAAATCAATCGCGATTTCGGTGCAGTGAAATTACGGAGAATGGGCTTTGTGTTAGAATTCGGTTCCCACTCCATTTAAGACTAATGGAGAATTGCAAAAAAAAAATGATCATGGGAATGTGTGTAATGAGATGGAAATAAGTCTCTAACGAAGTTTATTCCGGGGTAAAGTTCGGTGAGTTCGCATTTAAGTTTAAACTGAGTTGGGATTTTCAGATTATTATCTTCACTTTCCATTATTTCGGAAATATTATGTTCTGGATGGTAATACCATCGCACCATTATTAATTATTATTTATTATTATTTATTATCATTATTTATTTAAATTTTTATGTTTTCTATATTAACAGTCGCCAATTTTTGTTTTTTCCCAAAAATACTTTAACGTGTTAATATTAAGTTTGTGTTTACATAACCATTCATATATTCGGTTCAAATCACTGTTAATACCATGTTTCATCTGTAATGATATCGCGAAGCTACTTTTAGACATGGGTTTTACAGCATACAAACCTACTGAGTGGCGACTTTTCATTGACACTTCTAAAAGAAGTTTGAAATGCGTTTTACCGCACAATGGTAATAAATTTGCATCTATTCCAATTGCCCATTCAACAAAACTCAAAAAATATATATATTAGTAATTACTTTAAATTAGTTTTAGAAAAAAATAAATACTCGGAACATCAATGGCCGATTTGTGTAGATTTGAAAATGGTTAATTTTTTACTCAGTCAACAGAGTGGATACACGAAATACCCGTGCTTTATTTTTATGTGGGACAGTAGAGCAAAGCAACATCATTGGAATCAAGATGTTTGGTCTGTGAGAGATTCTTTAACTGTGGGTAAAGCCAATGTAATAAGAGAGCCATTGGTAAGCAGAGACAAAATAATACTCCCACCATTACATATTAAGTTAGGAATGATCAAGCAATTTGTAAAGGCATTAGACAAGGACAGAAACTGTTTTAATTACATTTATAGAAAATTTCCGAAGCTTGGTGTGGAAAATATTTGATTGTTCTCAAATAGGGCAAATGATGAAAGATTCAGATTTTATCAAAGTTATGCCTGTTCCGGAAAGTAAAGCTTGGGAAAGTTTTGTATTGGTACTCCTAGGTAACCATAAAGCACCAAATTATGAAGAAATTAGGGAAAATATGCTGACAAATGTTCTTGGAGCAAATATGAGTATCAAGTTACACTATCTTCGCAATCATCTAGATAAATTCCCCGATAATTTAGGGAATTATAGTGAAGATCAGGAAGAGCGGTTCCACCAGGATATAAAAGAGATAGAAGAACGGTATCAGGGTCGCTGGGATTGTCACATGATGGCAGATTACTGCTGATCTTTAAAAAGAGATTGTCCAAAGAAGAGTTATAAAAGAAAAGCTAATAAAAGGAGTTTTATGGAAATTTAGTTTTAACATTTTATTCTCTATTTACTTCAATGTTTGTTTATCTTTCAAAATAAAACTAATATTTTCAACATTTATGTCATTTTATTTCTTGTTTTTAGATTTTTTTAAATTAAAATGAATATTAAGATTTTAACAAAATCGAGAAACCATTTTTTTTTCGGCGTTTTGCAAATATTTACGCTTTTGTTTTTCGTAGTGCCGTTACTCGTATTTCATTTTTATTTTGCCGAGTTGCGCTCTTTAGTTGATCAAATATTTCGCATATTCGTCGAGGGGCTCTTGAAACGTTTTTTGTGTGTTTTAGACGAAGTAGCGAGCTTGGCGGCGGAAGCGGAGAAGAAACCGCCTGACGAAAGATCGGAGAGGGAGAAAATCGCCATTATGGGCAAACCAAGACTGGGTGAAATAACTAGGGCACAAATTAGGATAAAAGAAAGTAAGGAGTTTAAGGTAAGCGATCGTGATTAAAGAAAAAAAGAAACGATAAATTAAGTCGGATAGCGGTTTTTCCTATTGGTAAGAATGTCATTTATTGTGTTAGTTTTTTTTAGTCAATTCCCGTAATATATGCGAATTTTATTTGCAATAAATTGTTGCGTGAAAAATAGAAGTTTCTCGCATTTCACGCCGTTACTAAATATCATAAAAAATATTTATTGATATCATTTTTTTTATGTAAACTGGTTAAGACTTTTTGTATGTAATTAATTTCTTATTAACAAAAATAATTTTATCAAAGTATTCCACAAAATAGTAACAAGTACGATGTGGCTTATTCAAATTTCAAATAGCCTTATAAAAATAATGTTGAACACATTAGCAGAGGAATTAAGGAAATTAATGTTTAATTTAAGCACAACATAAAACTTCAAAAGAAAGAAAAACAATGGCAGATTTGTAATATTTGCTACGATACCAAATTTTAATTTGCATTGAATACATTTAAATAACTCATTTCCAAATTAAAGTGGTTATACATTTATGAATTATTATATATGCATATATATTTTCAGCGTTTTTATTTATTACGAATAAGGGAGTAATGCTGGAAATTATATATATATATATATATATATATATATATATATATATATATATATATATATATATATATATATATATATATATATATATATATATATATATATATATATATATATATATATATATATATATATATATATATATATATATATAATTATTTTATTATATTATTTATTTATTTATATATTAAATAAAACAAGAAATTACTTTCTACACTGCTATATTTTAATTAAAATTAAATAGAGATTTAAATAACTACTTTGCTAATTAAAGTTGTCATAAATACATGAGTTGTTATATATGAAATTTTGAGCGTTTGTGCTTATAATAAATGAGGGAGAGTTATATATATATATATATATATATATATATATATATATATATATATATATATATATATATATATATATATATATATATATATATATATATATATATATATATATATATATATATATATATATATATATATATATATATATATATATATATATATATATGATGACACTATATTCCGGGATATCATCCGTTCGCTCGTTGAACTCCGACTGGAATCCTGCATCCGACTGGAATCCTGCAAATCTTGCATCCGACTGGAATCCTGCAGACGTTTCGCCAAAATCTCACTTGGCATCTTCAATGCTCGCGCTCCGAAAACACTTCGAACACTGAACAGTGTTCGAAGTGTTTTCGGAGCGCGAGCATTGAAGATGCCAAGTGAGATTTTGGCGAAACGTCTGCAGGATTCCAGTCGGATGCAAGATTTGCAGGATTCCAGTCGGATGCAGGATTCCAGTCGGAGTTCAACGAGCGAACGGATGATATCCCGGAATATAGTGTCATCACATTTTTCCATCCGTGAATCAATACGTGAGAATATATATATATATATATATATATATATATATATATATATATATATATATATATATATATATAATTATTTTATTATATTATTTATTTATTTATATATTAAATAAAACAAGAAATTACTTTCTACACTGCTATATTTTAATTAAAATTAAATAGAGATTTAAATAACTACTTTGCTAATTAAAGTTGTCATAAATACATGAGTTGTTATATATGAAATTTTGAGCGTTTGTGCTTATAATAAATGAGGGAGAGTTTCTTTAAGGACTAATACTTATTTATTAGAGAGTATACTCCTGTTTCAATTTTTTCAGTAGGCCCAGACGCAGGATAGACTAGAAAATTTGAAACCCAACCTATATAAAATGGTTATTTAATAAAATACATTAATAAATTAAATCAAACAAAAAATTAATGACAGGTCAGTAATATTCTATGCACTGCCAAATTTTGATTTAAATTAAATAGATTTAAATAACTAGTTTACTTATTGTTAGTGCTCTTTCTATTTTTTATTAATCCCTGACACAGGATAGACCAGAAAATTTTAAACTTCACCTAGATAAAATGGTAATTTAATAAAATATATTAATAAATTGAATAAAAAATAAAAATATTGGCAAATTTGTAATATTTGCTACGCTGTGCAATTTTATTTTAGATTTAATAGAATTAAATAACTCACTTGCAAATTAAAGTTGTTATATATGAAATTTGAGGGAGAATCCAATGAGACATCAAATATAATTTTTACACTGTAGATAGATCCCAACGTTTTTATTGATTTTCTTTAATTATCTCTCACACAGGATAGATCAAATATTTTAAACCCTAGCTATATAAAGGGTTTTTTTTTTCGATGTATAGAACCTTAAGTTGCAATAAAACAACGATGGATTATTCGCTTGACATGATTTTTATTTATCCGACAGATAATCTTGTGGCATTACATTTTAAATATGATTTCTGGCATATCACCGCCACGGCTGGCGCGGATGTAGTCCAATCTGGACGTCCAATTTTCGATGACTTTTCCAACATTTGTGGCCGTATATCGGCAATTACACGACGAATGTTGTCTTCTAAATGGTCAAGCGTTTGTGGCTTATCCGCATAGACCAATGACTTTACATAGCCCCACAGAAAGTAGTCTAGCGGTGTTAAATCACAAGATCTTGGAGGCCAATTCACAGGTCCAAAACGTGAAATTAGGCGGTCACCAAACATGTCATGTTTGGTGACCGCCTGAGAATAAATCACTTGACAGCTGTTAAATCGGTCGCCATCTTGAACAGTAATGCCAACTTAAAGTTCTATACATCGAAAAAAACCACCCATTAAAATGGTTATTTAATAAAATACATTAATAAATCACATAAAACATAAACATTTTTAACGTTTGCCATACTGTGAAATTTCAATTTAGATTTAATAGATTTAACTTATTTGCAAATTAAAGTTGTTATATATGAAATTCTCAGCGTTTGTACTTATTAAAAATGAGTTAAAATGCAATACAATGATACTTCAAATATAATTTTTACTCTGTAGATAGATCCCAGCCTTTTTTTCGAATTTCTTTAGGCCGTAATAATTATTCTTAGTAAGTTTATTGCCGTTATAGATTTTTCTTAGAATTAGATTATTCCCTGAGACGGAATATATTAAAAAATGCCAGGATGTAGTTTTTGTTTAGTTAGAAGCAGTATGGTTGTTAATTAACTCACGAATTTGACAAATATTTTGTAAATCAGTAAGTACAATTAAATTTTCAAAATAAATCAAAAAATATGCTGCTATAAATAAAACATAATTTTATTACACTCCGTCTCTCCCCCTCTATTGTATGTTATTTTTCGTTATATTGGTTTACATTGTGTTGCACTTATAATGAATTCTGCCCTTTCTCTTTATAGTTTATCGATACAATTATTTTTTGTTTTCCTTATGTTTTATTTATCAACAAATTTAAGCTTTTCCTTCGTTTTACGTATCGTTATACAAATATTTTAAGGAAAACTTAAACGTACAAACAAACTTTATTATTATTTCAACACTTATTAAGGAGACATAAGAGTCGAAAAAAACATCCAATTCGCTAATGCGAGGGCATAAAAATTTATTACCGTCATCAAATCTCCTTTAGCGTGAACTCCCCCACTTAAAAACAACAGGTGTTCTTTTGTTTCATCGCGGACGCACACCATTAGGGATTAATCTAAACCGGGAGCCTGTAAAACTTAATAAGCGCTAGATTAAAATTGGAACTCCATTGTTTACCCCGAACGGCTAAGACAAAGTGGGATTGGGTCCGACGCATTAATCATAAAACATCCGCCGCCTCATCCTTCATTTGCTCGTTTTTGGGCAGGGACGTTACGCCTATACGGAGAATTTTAAGCGTCTCCAGTCCGTGGAGAATATTTATTAGTAAATGGATGTTTTCGCCATCGGCGAGAGGCAACCCTGACCGAATACCGAACGAAATTGTTCAGTGGTTCGGCCGTTGAATATTCAATGATATTATATCGAAAGCACCATCGAGGAGTCATTGATAAAAGGCCTAAAGGCGGCCAGCGAACATATACGGAGGTGTAACCCGTCCTTCGTAAGAGTTATCAATGGAAAAGCCGAGTGGTTGGTGGAAGCAGTTGCGGGAAATTCAAGTTTTGACTTTTGAATGTCTCTTTGTAAACTGAAATTATGTTTAATGACGATTATCGCTCACTATGGTTGTTTTTGAAGAAAATCTTTGTCGTTATTTTATAACAGTCCATTAGGCAACGACTTGTCAAATTAGATCCAATATGACGTCGCGGGGCAAACAAACAAAGTAAATAACATTACTAAATATTTCCGGGCTTTTGAGCCGTGGTCCCGAGATTAAACTCGACGTTTCGTCTACAACTGCGGTAGACATTTTCAAGAGCGGCGATGCGGTAACGGTCGAAGTGTTCTTCCGTACTGCTCTCCGATGACTGGTTGGTTGACTGGAAGATCTGCCGTATTTAAGCGCGCTGTAGTGGGCGTGACCTCGGTGGCGGGCTTGGGTTGAGCTTGTCTGGGTAAACACGTTGTTTTGTTGATGACCTGAGTCCATGTTTTACTGATATTGAGACCTTCTTCTTTTCTATTGAAATTATTCTGATGTTTTTGAATTTCAATAGCTTCTCTGAAAAGACGTGGATAAAAATGTGGTGTTTTGTCCAGTACCTGCGTGTCTTTGAACATGATACGATGGTCACCTTTGTAAAAAGCATGTTCTGCCACTGCTGATTTTTCCGTGTGTCCAAGCCGGCAGTTCCTTTTATGTTCCTTTAGGCTTGTTTCAATGCTTCTCTTTGTGGTACCTATATATACCGAGCCACAGGAACACGGAATGCGGTATATCCCTGGTGAAGAAAAGGCGTCCCTTGTATCCTTGGCAGACCTGAGGCTTTGTCTGATTGTAGTCGTTGGTTTAAAGACGACCCGAACGTTGTGTCGTTCTAAATGTTTACCGATCCTGTCTGTGACGTTCTTAATAAAAGGAA